TGGGAAGAAAGGGGCAGAAGAAGCAGCTGGCATTTGTCTTCTTAGAAGCATCACTATCGACCAATAACAGATAAGAAAGTACCTGCCCTCAAGGGATTTACCACCGAGTTGGGGAGATAGGAGATAAATGCACATTTATCTGTATGTGGGTACCTGGCAGTTTGTGCTAGGTACCAAAGATCGGGGCAACTGCTCCCTTAGCAGTGGGAGGAAGATGAGACAGTGAGGACCTTGAGTGAGGCCCACAGGTGCAGGTGACTCTGCCTCAGCCCGGCTGGCCTTAACTCAAGGGCTTGTCTTGGGGAAAGATCTTAAAAGACTGCCTTGGGCCAGGGCTGGGAAGTAGGTATTGCAGAGAGACTTAGGGGGCGAGGCCGTGTAGGCTCCCATTCAGCTGACATGAATTAGACTTGGTCAGAGAGAAATCAGGATTCGGGGAAGGCAGAATGCAGGATTCAGAGAACACAACTGGGAATGAAGTCAGGTGCACCTTGTCAGAGGAGGCAGGCTGAGCAGGGAAGGTTGAAGGCAGCTGGAGATTATCCCAAGGTCTTCCCTAGTTTTAAAGGGAACAGAGAGGAAGGACAGAAAGCAAAGGTAGTGGGGAAATGGGCAAGAGCCTAGCCAAACTTTGAGAGTTATGTCTTCATCCCAAGCAATGTCCTCAGAGGGACCAAAGCAGATATGTCTGACGGCGGTATGGGAGGGAGGGAGGGAAACCAGTGAGGTGGCTAGTACAATTTAGGCAGGAGATGATGAAGGCCTGGGAAAAGGGAAACAGCAGAGGCTGGCACTGACTCTCCCCCTCCTGGGTGGATGCTTGCTATGCATCTCTCCCTGGGGGTTCCTTTCTTTCCGGGTCTTCAGTTACCACCTCCATGCAGATGAACTCCAACTCTATGTCCTGAGCCTACAATTCTCTTGCAAGCTCCACACTTACAATTCCTCCAGCTTACAGGGCCATCTTCACTTGGAATTTGCCACTGTAACCTAACAGTTAACAAGTCCCAAACTCTCAGAGTTAGCTATGTTGTGCAGTGCATAGTCAGGAAGACTCGAGCTCTGTGACCCTGGGCAAGTCACTTAACTTCCTCAGTTTCCTCCCCAGTAAAATGGGGATAATAATAGCACCTAGCTCACAAGAGATATTTGTGAAGTGCTTTGCCAACCTTAAAGCACTATATCAATCCTTCCTCCTGATTTCAGGATGAAGCCCCTGGTGGTCTGCACTGGGATCAGTGTCAACATTTTCATCAGTGACTTAGATGGAAGAATAGTTAGCATGCTTTGCTAATTCGAAGATGACACAGAGTTGCACGTCAGTCAGGATCCAACAGGCTAGGATATCAACCTGAGTCTAAAAAGATGAAATTTAATTGGAATAATAGATTCGATAAATTGACTTCTGAAGTACAAGTTGGTGGAGCCATGAGCAGCCAGCCAGCTGTCTGACAAAGACTGGGAGACTTTGGTGGACTACCAGCTCAAAATGAGCCTGAGGCATGTGAAATGGCAGCCCTGAATCAGAGCAGCAGCGTCTAGGACCAGGGAGGTAACCGGTCACACTCTTAAGAACTGCATTGCAGCTCTGAGCAATGAGGAGCTAGGAGGTATCTAGAAGAGGGGACTAAGCGTGGGGGAAGTCCCCCAGATGCTGCCGTGTGAGAATCACCTGAAGGAATCGGGGAGCTTGCACCTGGAGAAGGGGATGGAAGGAGAAAGGAAAACACTTTGCAAATCTTAAAGCACTATACAAATGGGGTTATTATTAATTATAAAATAGCACTTAATTGCAATTAATCCTTCTGTGGGGCACAGAGTGGGTGACGACAATCATTTCCAAGCCTTCCTTAGGACAGTGACAAGGCTTCTTCTGCTTGGACCCAAGTTGCAAAGAGGTAAATTTAGGTTTGTTTCCAGGAAAAATGTATTTGTGAAGATCTATTCAAAAATAAAGTTGGCTGTCTTGGGAAGCAGTGATTTTCCCTTCATTGGAGATTTTCTGAGAGTATTGGATAGGGGATCCCTGTTCAGGTATAGATTATATTGGATGGTCCCTTCCCAACCAGCTAGTCTGTGACTAGTCAGTGGTAGCGCCAGTTCCCATGTTCAAAACCTTGATGGGATCTTGGACTTTTCCTCACCCCTCCCGTCTCAGAGGGGCAGAGATTCCCCCACCCCATAGCTACAAGGGCTTACATCATCTTTTTATTCCAATGTCACTAGCTTACCCTTATTCATTCCTATTTGCCTGTAATATGACAATCAACTCTTAAATTTTTTCCACTTTATTTCTGTTCTGAATAAACAAGTAAAACGAACATTTCCAAATACACTGTAGAACAAGAGAGGACTGTACAAGAAAATGAAAGCAATGATCAAGAATATTTCCCAACTCCTGACAGAGTTAATGGACTCAAGATACAGAATGAGAAACATTTTTTGGAGACAGTTGAAATGGGAAACTTTTTTTGTTTGTTTGACTATGTATATTTGTTACAAGAGTTTTTTCTTTTTTTATGTGGGGGAGAAAAAATTCTTGATAACAAAAATTCTATTATATAGAGCTTGACTTTCTGTATAATAAATTCAACATGTAGCTTTCAAATCTGCCTTGTCCTCTTTTTGGGGGAGGGGAGAATTCTATCCTTAGTTCTCCTATTTTACTTCTCCCTATTGGAAAAAGAGAAAAAGAAAAACACATAGGCATAGGCATAGTCAAAGTCAAGAAAACAAATTTCCACATTGGCTGTTAAGGACTACTACCATGTCCTCAATGTATGACTCCTTTTGCATCTTGGGTCTATCATCTCTGTCAAGAATGAAGAGCTTGCTTCTTCACTGCTCCTCAGTTGTGGTTGGTCATTTCACCTGAGTTAAGTCTTTCAAAGTCAGTTTTCTTCAAAAGGCATCTCTTACAGATCTTCTTGTGGCCACTTTCCCTTAAATTGATGCCACACTTCCCTTAGATCTGGCTGTATAAAAATCCTGGCTTTAAACCTTCAAAGGTTCCCTGACACATTGAAGATCACACTTCATTGCCTCAGGTTCCCCTTCCTCTCCATCCTTATTTCTTTTCTCCTCCACATCCTCTGTTCTCCAGGCCGGCGGCATTACTCTATTGACCAACATGCCCAGAGCCTTCCTGACAGTGCCTTTGCTCCATCCTCAGTCTCTTTTCCCCATGACCTTCCACTTTCCTTTTAAGCCACATCTTGCAGGAGCCCTTTCTGAACCTTTCTGTGAGCAAGGATCTCTGGGACCTAAGACCTTGCTTTCTCTATCTCTCTAATGTCTCCTGACATCATTTGCATTAGTCATGCTAGCATCTTTTCTATAGAAGTAAGCCTGCGGAGGAAAGAGACCACTTTGTTTAAACTGTTTCTCCAGAAAGGCACAGTAGTATCACGTTCTGCATACAGCAGGCACTCGATACATGCTGGAGGAAGGAAGCCTGAATCTATAGGACTAAACGTAAAGGTCAGCTTGTAGTGGGAACAAGGGAGGAGTCGAGAGCTGTCTCTTAAGTCTGTTGAAATCTGTTAGTTATCACCAGCGGGAACGTGAAAGCGCTTGGTGAGTGCGAGCCTCAACTTCCCCATCTGTCTAATGGGTCACCACATTAGCACACGCATGTCACAAGGTGATCGATTGCAGGCAAAGCACTTGGACCTCGCGCTCCCCAGTCTTGTCCGCCAGGTGAGCGAGTGACCGGCGGGAGCCACGTGCGGACCAAAGCCCGCGAGCACAGGGGGAGGGGGTATGCCCCTCCCCCACTCCGGACTCCTCCTCAGAACATTCCACACGCAGGCCTGCACAGAGAGCCAAGTGCACCGACATTCGGACCTGGGTCTATTTTTCGCTCCGAGTTTGGGGACCCCAAGTCAGGGATCTATGAACTAGCCTAGGGCAGGACTTGAACCCAGGGCAGCGCCATCACCTTGCCTGGTACACGGTGTGGCGCCGAATAAATACTTGGGACCTCTCTCCCCACCTCGTGCCTCAGTTTCCCCATCTAGAAAGTGGGCCCGCGGCCACAGGGACAGGTCACGCTGGCTAAGCCGAGTCAAGGGCGAGGCGGAACGTGACCGTCCACGGGTATAAGCACAAGAGGGTGGAGCTCGAAGGGCCCTCGGGTCCCACCCTCTCCTGACAGCTGAGTAAACCGAGGCAGAGACGTGTGTGGGGGGGAGACGTGGCCTCTAAGGGGCAGAGGCAGAATTTGAACCGAGGGCCCTCGCGGCCCTCCCACTTCTCGGGCAGGCGGGCTTCCTTCGCCAACAGCCCCGCAGATCCAAGCCCCATGGCGGCCCGAGACCGAGCGGGCCGAGGTCCCGGGGCCTTCGCGGACACCCCACAGCATCTCAGTTCCCGGGGTCGCGAAGCGCCGACCTGCCCAGAAGTGACGTCATGGGACCGGCGGGCGTCTACTTCCTGCCCCGTCGTCATTTGCCCCCTCCCCTTCCCCATTCCACCCATCGGACTTTCCACCTCCTCCCCACCGCAGGCCTCCGGGAGGAGCCGGGACGCCCTGACGTCACGCCGGAAGTCGCTAGGAGCCGGGCGCGGGCGGGGCTCTGGCTTTTGAAGGAGGAGCTCTTGAGCTCCACGACGCGCGTCCGCCTCGAAGGCGGAGCTCCGCATGACGGACGGACGGCGTGACCACGCCCCTGCACCTTGGGCTCGGAGGCTCACTGCGGGGGGCGGAGCTACGCTGGCGACTTTGCGCTGGCGCCATGTTGAGTGTGGCCTTACGGGCGCTTCTCGGCTGTAGTGGTAGGGCTGTCTCGTCCTACCCCGGTCACTCCTTTATCCCATCATTCATTCATTAGTCTGCGCCTCCCTGAGGTGGGCGGACTCTCCTCGGCCCACTCTTCGAACCGAAGTCCGCGGACGGGACACACTCAAGATGACGGCGCGGGCGGGGCGGTGACGTCACCACGCTGCGCTTCGCCTCAGCGCGGCGGCGGCGGCGGGCCAGGCAGTTGGGCGGGGCCGCGGGGTGGGGCGGGGCCGGGCGGAGGCGCGGAGTGAGGCGCCCGCTGGCTGCTGCTGTCACTCCTGCTCCAGCTCCGGCTCGGGCTCCGGCTGCGGCCCCGCTCGACTTTCTATCCCCGGAGTGCCTAGGGGCGGGGGCGGGAGGAGGTCGAGGAGGCCGGGGCGCAGCCGCCATGGCCGAGGATGCGGGCGCGCTGCCCTGGTCCATCAACAGGGACGACTATGAGCTGCAGGAGGTGATCGGTGAGTGCGCGTGCGCGGGATCGGGCGCGCGCCAAGGGCTCGGGGGCGCGCGCGCCCCCAGGTGCTCCTCCGCGCCCCCCCAGGAACCTAGGAGGTGCTTAATAAAAGCTGGGGCTGGGCTAATTAGCCGGAATTGAAACTGACGTCTGGGGGGCGGGGCGTGAGCAAGCGTGGCACTGGCCCAGGGGGCGTGGATGCGGGCTCCGGCATCTATTAGGCACTTGTTGTGTACGGGGCCCAGTGAGTACCCCCGAGCTTGCGATCTAGAGGGGGAGACCACCGGGACCCACACGGGCTAATCATTCGACAAAAGCACTTATTAAGCGCCAACTGTGTTCCCGGCATTGTGCTAAGCGCTGGGAATACAAAGGAAGGACAGAGGCAGCCCCTGCCTTCCAGGAACTTACAGTCTAATGGAGGGGATAGAGCGCAAACAACTAGGGCTAAGGGAATTATGGATTGGATGAGTTGGAGATAATCAATATAGGACAAAATAGCGAAGAATCCTGGAGGGCAGGGGCTGCCTTTGGCCTTTGTATCCTCAGTGCTTAGCACAGTACACACAGTTGGTGCTTAATAAATGCTTGCTGACTGCCTGGACTTGGGATTTCAGGGAGCTCCTTCTCTCGGGGAAAGCCCACCCGCTGCTTTGCCACTTCTGGCTTCCAGAGCTGCTTGGGACACGGAGGGGTTCAGTGACTCACTGAGGGTCGCAGGGCCCAGGTGTGGCTGAGGGCGGACATGCCTGTTACAGGTTTCTACAGCCCAGGGGGAAGGGAGGGAGCTGTTCAAGGAGGAGGCCCCTGAGCTAAGGAAACTAGGGATTCTGAGAGGAGGGGCAGCCAAGCACTGAGCACTGCCTGTGCAGAGGCACTTGGGGAGGGCAGAGAGTGCTGTGTTTAAGGAACAGCCAGAAGGCCGGTCTGGTCGGACCAGGGAGAGTCTGCAGATGAGAAGGCACACGGAGTACTTTGGAACTCCTGCCCCCTGGGGCTGTGAAGGAAAGGGTCTGGTGTCAGGACCAGCTGGAAGGCCCCTGTGCCTCGGGCCCAGAGGATGTGAAGGAGGCTGGAGCCAGACTCTGAAGGACCTCCTCAGGGGGAGGACGACCCATATTGCCTTTCAGATGGTAGGGAGCCCGGGCAGGTGAGCGCCCGGGTCACCCCGGGGCTGGATTAGAGAAGGCAGAGGCTGCTTGGTGCGTTGGGAGCCCTGGGAATGAAGGGCCTGGCTTCGCACGGGGCCCTGCTTCCAGCTCCTGTGTGTGCGCCTCGGCTTCCTCATCGGGGGCCCTTCCCAGCTCTGGCTGCACCGTCCTTGGCTCTCTTTGCCAAGGCTGTGGCTGAGTCTCCGTGAGAAGGCAGTCCAAGTGTTTTCTCTTTTGGTGTGGGCCGAAAGGACCCTTTGCCCAGGCTGGGGTGGTAGTTTGCCGGACACCTCTTGAAGAGAAGCATTTGAGGAACCTTTCTGAAGACCTTGCTATCAGGCTGCCTTGTCACTGAGCTCTGACCCCGTGTGTGAAGGCCTTGTTTTAAAATAGCTCGCTTGGGTTTCCCTGGCCTTGCTTCCTCCTTTCTCCTTTGACCTTTTCCTGGAGGCCCTGCAGAATGTGCCCTTGTTGCTTGGAGGGCCTGGCAGCATCCTCTGATGGGCCAGAGGAAGCTGCCTGTCTTCACTGTCTCCAGGGAAGCCCACGGTGGTTGGAGAGGGGCATTTGAAAATGAGGACGGAAGGGCAATAGAGTAGGGATGGGAGGGTACCTCTGCAGAATGACTAGGTGGAGAGGGTATTACTGCCCTTCTTGAGGTTCTGGGTAATTGCTTGCTGTATTAGAAACCTGTTGGAAAAAATGGCAGTCCTCCAGTGAGGACCTTTCTCTCCTGGGGCGGAACACCTGGTATCACCTGTGCTTTGGGGCCTGAGGCCATGTGTCCAGGGTCTGCATGGAGGGGGGACATGAAGCCAGGTTTTCCTGGCTCTGAAAGCTCTCTAGCCACCAGAGTACAGCACATGGTCAAAAAGGAGCCCGGACTGAAACTCTGTGGGCAGCTCCTTCAGCTGCTGCCATGGGGCATGGGGGGGGGAAGGGCCTGGGTGCTTCTTACCCTGGCCATCGAGCCCGACGACTGAGAGCTGATTAATAAGCTCCAGCGCTGGCACTCTGTGGGTGACAGCATTGGAAATTCCTCTCCTCTGTGCAGTTGAGAGTTGGTTTTATCAGTCAGTCAGCAGGCATGTACTGAGTGACTGCTGTGTGCCAGGCACCAAAATGAAGGAGTCTTCCCCTCAGAGAGTTTACATTTGAGTGGGGGGAGACCACGGAACGTCAGTAGACACGTCCAAAAGGGAACACGAGCCACTGCTGAGGGAGGGAGGAAGACGAGGGGAGAGAGGGGAGCAGGAAGGCTTCCTGGAGGAAGCCAGGGGCCCTGCAAAGGTCCGGAGCTGAGGAGGAGAGCATTTGGGCAGAGGAGCTGAAGTCTCGGGTGAGAGACCCACCGGGACCTGCAGAGGTAGGCAGGGACCTGGCTGGGCAGAGCCACTGGCCTCCACCGAAGATGGTCGTATGCTCACACCACTGCTGTTGTCCCCTTCTATCCTGGCCATCGTCCACTCTGTATCTGAGCCCACAAAAATGTGTAGATAATGAACCAGGAATATTGGTTCTGAGGCTTTGCTCTGCTGTGCAGCAGTGCAGCCCAGGGGACGGCTTGGGGATGGAGGCTTTTCTTTTTTTACCTTTAAAGGAGTCTGGCTGGACGAGTCATAGGATCAAAGAAGGAATCTCAGAGCCCATCTAGGGCAGCCCCCTCATTTTACAGATGGGGAAACAGAGCCCTCTCTTAAGTCCCACCACCAAATCACAAGCATCTGTTTCAACAGTTTCCGTTTCACACACCTAGCACAATACTCCTCGGGAAAGGCAGTGTGGTGTGGGATTGGAGGCAGGAGCTCTGGCTCCAGTCCACAGCGACCCCTGAGTGGTGGCGACCCTTGCCCTAGAGGCCTCAGAAGGGTATCCGCCTAGTTGGAGCTGGCATTTTGGATTTCCTTTCTAGTCTTGACCAGAAATTTTTTTTTACCTTCTCCTACAATGAAAAGGAAAATCACTTCTTACAGAACAGCTCTTAAAAGAAGTTTGAAGCACGTGAGTTTAAACAAGTTTCGGTGAGCTGGAGGCCCCTTAAGCCAATTGGGTAGAAGCTGCCATGTTCATGTTTTCCTCAATCTCCACCTCCACCATCCTTCCCGTCTTAGTTGGGCTCCTGATTATATTGGCATTTGGGGGGACAAATATTGGAATGCATCTCTTGGTTGAACATATGTTAAAATATTTTGGAGCAGATGTGTTTCTGCACCTCAGATGGCTTTTTTCCTCTCTCCCCCCGCCCCCCCTCCCATATTCCTCAAGACTTAATCTTGCCAGCAAATGCCTATGGCCATGTGGTTTAGCAATCTTGTAACACTCGCATATTTGGAGACTGTTAATGCGGATTGGGAACTTGCTAATTTGTTTTCTTTTCATTTCTGATTCTTTCTGATGGATTGAGAGATTTAGGTGGGGAGGTGATGGTCCAGCTATATCAGGCAGGGCCACTTGGGGCAGAGCCAAGAAGTTAGGGCTTCCAGGGAGCCCGGCTCATCATCGTGTTTGAGAGGAACCTATACAACCATTGAGTGTTTATCTCAGCCTGGAATTAGAAAATTGTTCTCTTTGAAAATCAGTTTTCAGCAACCTGACTCACCTTGAGAAGCAGTCCACTGTTTCCTTCTTTTCCTTCTCTCTTCTTTAGGTGGGGCTTAATACCTGCTTCTTCATCAATTGATTCATTACCCACAAATATCCCTTTTGAGACCTCACTTTTTTTCAGTCCGTGAGGCTGAGGTGCATCTGAGTGGTGGCAGTGAGATACCTCCCAGAGGGCCAAGGTGGTGGCAGACTGCAACTAAAAGGGGGGCTCTGATCTCAGTGTTTGAAGATGGAATGTTCTCTCTGGTTTTTGGTATTTTTGCTTATTTTACCACCTCTTTTCCCCTTAACATTTTAGTTTGGTTTGAGCTGTCTGCAGGCTGGGCACTTAGCCCTGTTTGCCAGTAGTCTGTGTATGCAGAGCACCTGGATTTTTTTGAGTGCTTTAATGAATTTTTTTTCACCCTTTATTGTTCACTCTCTGAGTAGGTTATATGAACTCGCTACTCAGCATGAGTATTAAAGGTTGCCTTGTTTCAAAATGATAACCTTTCCAGTAACAGAAATGTAAATTATTTTGCTTTCTTAGGTTCAAGTACAGGCAGCTGGTTGTGCAGTGGTTAGAGCACTTGGTCTGGAGTCAGGAGGACCTGAGTTTAAATGGGGCTTCAGACACCTCCTGGCAGTGTGACCTGAGGCAAGTCACGTAACCTTTGGCTGCCTCAGCTTCCTCAACTGTGAAATTGACATCTTTAGTGCCTACTTTCCAGCATTGCTTTGAGTATCAGGTGAAATAATGTTAATAAAACACTTAGCACAGTATAGTCTGTGTAGGTAGGTAAGCACACCGTAAGTGCTTGTTTCTTCCCCTTCATCCTTCAGGTAACATTTCAGGAGTCTTTATGAATGGCTAGTCTTTGCTACCCTTTTTGTTCCTTGTAAAACAAAACCTTGTTGCAAATATACAAATAATCCATGTGGAATTTGTATTTTTTTGGGGGGTAGAATCTCTGTCTCTTTATTGGACTTGAAATTGAGTCCAAGGTTAGGGGTTTTGCCAGTATCTGTGGTCTGTCTGTCATCTGGCTTTTTGCTAGCCACCCCAGCTAGTTAGAATTTTTTAGTTTAAAAAGTGAAGGACAGGGGGCAGCTAGGTGGCACAGTGGATAGAACACCGGCCCTGGATTCAGGAGAACCTGAGTTCAAATCCTGCCTCAGACACAGAACACCCTTACTAGCTGTGTGACCCTGGGCAAATCACTTAACCCCATTGCCAAGCCCCCCCCCCCCAAAAAAAAGTAAAGAACTT